TCGTCGCGGCGGCGGCCCCCCCCCTCCCCCCGACACGGCACTGTCTGCTGGGGCTGCTCCTCGGGTGGCGCTGGCACTGTCTGCAGGGACTGTCCCCCCTCTCCCGGGCACCGGCACTGTCTGGGACACTTCTGGGTGTCACAGCGGGATAGGGCAGGCTTTGAGCTACGGCAAGAGTGGGGGAGGCCAGGTGCCCAGAGCACCTACAGCAACGCTCAGTGCTGCCCGCTACAGGCATACCTGGCGCGGCGTTGGCCAGAGAAGAGGAGCCTGGCCCAGCCCTGGAAGGCCCAGCCCTGGAAGGCCAAGCCAGATATGCTTGGGAGAACGGCACTTGCTTAAGAAGACAGCAGCAGGTCACAGACGGGCGAGAGGCCGGTCGAGTGGCATGTGTGTCTGCTGACTACTGCCTCACAGCCTAGGTCGTCTGTGTTTAGAGTGTTCGATAATTTACATTGTTCACACACTTCAATAGGCAACACAAGTCATCCTGTCGAATTTCTGGAGAGGGGTTCTCAGGTGTTGAAGAAAACCCAAAGCAATGTAGAATCAGTAATCAGCCCAGTTTCAGCTTAGACTTCCTGTTTTGAAACCCGTCTCTAGGCTTCTGACATGGAGACGCTGACCCCACCAGAGCGGCTTTCTGACCTCCCTCCATTTTCACGGTGTCTGATGGGAATAATAATGAAGTCTCCCAACGTGGTCAGGTAATGGTCATCTCAGTGTCCCGGGACGCTTGTCCCACTGTGTTCTTTCTCGGGGTCAGCATGATCATTTACTGTCAAATTTGCCAGAGGTGACTTTTTTTTCTATGAGAAAATGTTCCAAAGAATTTTCTTTCCATTTTATTAGCAACTGGACATGCTTAGGGCCAGCCCCATGGTGCACCAGTAAACCATACACATATTGAACTGGGTCCCACATGGCCAACCACGGGTCAGATCCCAGCCCCTCAACTTAAGGACCCTCCAGGTGCGTGTGCACGCAGGCCCACATCCTGACAGGCTGGAGAAGTGGAAAATGGTTGGGGTGTGACCACACCCCTCTGGGGGTGCTCTCTCCCTCTTTCTCCACCCCTCTCTCTGGTACATGCACATTCCCTCTGACAATTAAAAAATATTTACATTAAATTTACACAGAGAAAAAACTCTGCTCGTGTCTGGGTGTGCTATTCCTGAGGTGACTTGGTTAAGAGATTGAGTGTTCGTGGTGATTCCTTCCTCTGTGTGGTGGTCGGACCATGGTGTGCAGAGTCTCCACTGGAGGGACACCGGACATAGTATGCTCTCCAGCTGGGCAGGAGGATGGCCACACAGTGGGGTCCTGTCAGACGTCTGCCTCGGTCTCCCTTCGCCCCCTTTCTTCCTTTCTCCTCTCAGAAAGAGAAAAACAAAGTCAAAAACCTTTCCTGGGCCGAACATCACTGCAGTTTTCATTCAGTACACAGGTGACGCATGTCACATGACTGAATTGCAGGGTGTGCTGGGACACGCAGTCGCTCTGGCATCTGTACCCATTGAACTGCATAGCAGAAGCGCTCGGTCCAACTCAGAGCGCTGCCTCAGCCATGGCCCTCACCTTCTATCACTTTGACGCCTTCCTTGTGTGTTGGGGGACCCAGAGCCACTCTCCACACAGCATCCCTTCCCTGTCCGCCTGTGTGGGTTCCTTTCCACACTGCCGTGTGCATTGGCGTGCTCCTGTGAAGGTGTGCGAGGTGCTGGCCACCCCACGCTTCCTGCATTGCAGTCTGTGTGTGTGGATGGGACCTGGCGGCCCTTCTCCTCGAGGTGCCGGGAGGCCGTGGGGTGAGCTCAGGCCAGTGCTGTCTCTCAGGTCATTTCTGGACGAGCTGAAGGCGTGTGTGACCTCAGACGACATCGAGGGCATCGTGTGTCTTACAGCTGTCTTGCACATCATCCTGGTGATCCACAGAGGTTGGTGACGTCTGCTCTCCAGTCACGGTGTGCCTCAGCACTGTCCCGTGGTTGTCCGAGGGCTCAGTCCACGTTGAGCTCCGGCTCTGCCCCTGCCCTGTGGGTGTAGCACTGCCAGCTGCCTTGTGTCTCGGGGTCAGCTCCTGGCATGTTTGCCTGTCTGTGCTCCCAAGTTGATTTTCTCTTGGTCTTTCATGTCTCACTTGTGTTTAAACATCGGATTTTGCTTTTGTTAATGATAGGCATGTTATCATTAACATTTTACCTCTCATTTCTTTTTTTATAAATTTTTCATTACATCAATTTTTAAAAAATATTTTTGGAAATTTAATTACTGTACATCTTTATAGCACACAAAATGAGTTTTCCTCGCATGAATACAGTCGATATAGAAAAGGCGTGCGGTACAATACAACATCTCTACTGTCCTCTGAGGCCTTGACCTTGCTTATGCTAAATACCCCGACCAGTTGGAAGAGCACTGGAAGGGAAAGCGGAGACCTCCCTGAGCGGCTGACCTCCGTAAAGCCCACTGACTCCTCTGCCGAGTGCTGTGGTTACTATGCCACTCCTCGGGCTACTGATGTTGGAGTAGTCCCTGAGGGTGTGCCCTGTCTGGAGAGCACGCCTGTCTAGATGGGCTGCAGCCTCACGCTGAGTGACGCGGTGGCAGCCCTGCCGACTCTGCAGTTTGATGTGGGGCAGGCCTCCACAGAGACTCCCCAGGGCCCCCTGCGATGACGACCAGAGTGAACCAGGCTGCACACCTGGAGGAGACCGAGGGTCTAGGCTAGGTGCCACGTGTGTCCAGCGCGCAGGGACCTGGGTGCTCACCAGAGTGGAGCAGGCGCGTAGCTCTGGGACACGGCAGCTGGTGCTGGTGTCCAGTGCGGCGGCACACTGGCCGGCCACAACGCTTCCTCTGTGTGAGGCCGTTGGCCCCTCCCAGCCAGTGTGCGCTGTAAGTGGTGACTGGCGTTTATGGCGTGCCCATACGGGACTAGTCCTGCAGGTGGACGGCTGGGTCATCTCAGGGGGACCCGATGCGGCCATCGCGGATTTCACGCCCCCCATGTCGCAGGTCTTTTTGCTGTGTGTGGTGACATCAGACTGTTCGGTCCTCTAACCTCATCTCCCCGTAGGTAAACAGAGGAGTTCAGAGGTGACAGAGGTCGCAACTGCTGTCTACAGAAAACTGAAGACGTTCATGGAGATCACGTTGGAGGAGGAGAGCATTGAAAGGTAGGGTGTGGGAGCACCCGGCACTGTCTGAAAGCCACTGCCCTCCACACCGCGGGCTGATTCACTTTCACCAGGACAGCAAGGTGTGGGCTGCGAGCACAGACGCTTTCCTGTGGGTGCGGCCTCTGAGCTGTGTCTGGGTCCCTTTCAGTCTCTGAGAGTGGAGCATGGCCTTCGTGACCCCTGTGGTCCGTGAGGGTATGCGGACTCCTCGAGGCTCTGAGCCTGGAAGGGGCTCGGGAAGTTCACTGCATTCTGATCTGTGCTATCTCTGAGGTGTGGATACCCCACTCACGGCCTCCTCACTGGCCCTGGGGCGGCTGTCCCTCCTTCCTCTCTGGTGAGGAGAAAAGGAAACACTGCCTGCAGTTGCCACATTTACTCCTGACTTACAGGAGCAGCCAAAACCGATAGAGCGAGGGGCAACGAGGGCCTTCTGGCCTCCCACTTCTGCTGGGTGCCACGCCAGGCCCAGCCGTGGCAGCTTGAACTGGCACACACCATTCCT